TATATATTTTGTATAAATATATAAGTATGGTACAATACAACTACAATTTCGCCACACCGCTTACAAATTGTGTTTTGTTATCGATTTGTGTGTTTTGAGTTCATTTTTATACAATTCTTTGTTTTTTTTTTGTTTTTTTGTTTTTTTTTTTGACTTGTGCTAAATACACTTCAAAATTAATGTGCAATTCGTATTGGGTTTTTTTTTTGTTCTTAATAATATTATTTCTTTTTGCTTATATTCATTGTGTTTGCTTGTTTATTGTTGTTGTTGTAGTTGTTTGTTGCTTGTTTGCCTGTAAATTAATAACTAAGCCATTATTTTTTTTTGTTTCCATACGGTATGTACTTCATATATTCTTCAAAAAGTTCTATCTTCCATTTTTTTTTCTCTTCAATTCTGGATTTATTAAGCTGCTTAATAAATTCATTCCTACTCTCTCTCTTTCCTTCTCTAGTGTCTCTCTGTCTCTGTTACGCTTGTAGTAAAAATGCCTATTGTTTTTTTTTATTTTAATATATATTATTTTGTTTTTTGTTTTTTTGTTTTTTTCATCTCTTTTTTTTTTTTTTGCTTCAATATAAACTATTTCTGTTGTTTTTTTTGTTTGTTTTGTTTTTTTTTTTTTTGTATCTCATACATGCGCAGTATCTATGTTTGTGTGTGTGTGTGTTTGGATTTTTTTTTTTTGTGTGTGTGCGCTGCTGCAATTATAAATTTTGTTATTCCTATTTCGTTTATTTTTTTTTAGTAATTTGTCACTCGCAGCTCGTTCCACTCAGATCCTGTTATCCTGCTAATTTTTTTTTTTTGAGCTCCTTTAAACGCTTCCTGTGTTGCAGACAAGTTTATGGCTGTGGTTTTTTTTTCTATTGTTGTTGTTGTAGTTGTTGCTCCGAGCGTCGTTGTTGCTGTTGATGTTGCCTTTGTTGTTTCTATTAGTGTGGCTGGTGCATACCTGTCGCATAATAATACGAAAAAACATCTATACAATGTTTTCAGAATAGAAAAGGGGAATTCAAATTAACAATTTACAATCCAAATCCAAATGGAGAGGGCAACGTTAAATGAGGAAGAAAACTGGGCTAAGTTGGGAATACTTTTTAAACGTTTTTTTTTTTTTAAATTGTGATATAATTTTGATTTATACAGAAAGATTTAAAGAAAGGAAAAAAATCTATCTGAACTGTCTTCATTGATAAGAATATTCATATTAAGGCATCTATCCACAAATTGAAATGAAAATCGTGTAAAAAGTAAGTTGAAAGGATATTGAGATTAAGGAATCTATTAACAAAACAGAGTTTGAAGAGTAAGTTGAAAATGTTGGCATGTCATATAGATAGAACTATATACATATAGTTAAAAGATAATTGATATATTCAAATATTACATTATTTGCAGCAGATAATGAGTAATAAATAATAATAAACTACTATCTATATTCTGTTCCTTCAACTGTTCCTTGACTATGAATATTACATTCTCTAGTGCTCACAGATCTTTATATTCGTTTACATGCACTCTCTCAGTGCTCAGGTGCAGCATTTCGTCAATTACCTGCAGACCCTCCAACGTTTGTTTGGCTGTTCAGATTGGCGCTCAGCGTGGCTGATGAGGGATTGTTGTCGGATGGCGTGTTGGGACCGGCCGAGTGCGGCGTCCTGGGCGGATGGCCCATGTTCTTCTGGCGCACCTCGCGTATCTTTAGCTGCAGGTCCTGCTTGCGTGGGAACACATCAATGTGTTTGGTCTGTAAGAGATTCGCAGCTTTAGCATGAGATACAAATGGTATTTCTCTAGTTACACACCTGAAAAGCAATGGTTGCCTGAGCGGATGGGAAGACGCCGTGCTCGTTGAACAGCTGCATGACCAGATTGCGACGCGTTTCGAGGACCTTGCGGTGTCCCTTTTCGCTGACATCGGAGCGTGCGCTCTGCAACGGCGTTTTGGGTGTGCGCGGCGAACGGCCCGCTTGATCGCCGGTCTCCAGTTCTGCAGCAAATGGATGATTAGTTCCGGTTGCGTTTGTGTAAATGTGCGGACTACTTGGTCTTAGTTTACCTCTCAGATCATTGTTGAAGTCGGCGCCAAAGAAACGCTGTGTGGTTGTCGGCGGCGCCGATGCAGGCTCATCAATCGAATCATCCTCGCCAGCTGAACGATTCAAAATTTGTATTAGAATATGCATATATGACTATATAAGAGAAGTCTTCCTAGCGCATACGTACTTAGTTTCTGCACCGGTGCCTGCACGGCATTCTTTTTGCGATAGTTCGTGCCGTAGACACGCGGCGGCGACGGCACAGCAATGGCGCTGGGCGATTGGCAGTCCTCCGGCTTGAACTGCGGCAGCGCCTTGTACTTCTTCTCAAAGTCCAGCAGCACACTTCAAAAGGAAAGGTTCAAGGCTTAGTTTAACGTATAATGCAATGGGCGTGGCCTAGCTTACTTGTTAACTTCATCGCTCTTCTTCTTGCGCGACACCACGGCGGGTGCAGAGGCCGGCACGCTCCTAATGGGCGACTTGGCAGCCTGACTGCTCACATTGTTGCCGTGGACCGGGGGCGACAGCGGCTGCTGCTCGTCGCTGTTGGGCGTTGTCGTCGATGAGGTGGGCGTGGGCAGGGCGGAGCTGAGGCTGCTGCTGTTCACCTCCATCATTGTGGGCGAGTGCAGCTTGCGTCCAATGTGCTGGCCATTGCTGACGCCTCCATAGCCGCCCGTGCTGCTGACCACGTTATCCGACTTGCTTTGAGCTGCATTTATGGACAGAATTGGATTACAATGGTCATTCAATAGAAATATCCAGCTGCTGGCACTTACATAAGTTCTTGCGCCGCTGCAGCGGAGCACATCCCAGCTGCGCTGGCGTCGGCGCCAGCACGAATTGCTGCTGGCCATCGGTGTCCACCTCGACATCCACGTCGGCGTCTTCGGCAGCCTCACTGCTGCCGCTGCGCTTGCCCGACGAGTCCGGCTGGGCACTGTGATGATATGTCGCCGATTTGGGCGTCGAGGGCATCGACTTGAACGAGGGCGAGCTAGCCGGCTGCTGCTCCTGGCCGTGGCCACTGGCCGGGTAGCCGTGCAGGCGCAGCGTCGTCTGTGCCACGACCGATGGCAGTGGCGGCGCACCCTGCACTCCCAGGCCGCTGTTGTGCTTCTTGAAGAGGTAGCCAGGTGCAAATGCCTCCAGCTGCAGGTGCTCCAGACCGGTCGAGCCCTGCTGGTGCGGCGGCGGCAGCAATGGATACTAAGGATAATGCAATTGAAATTCAAGGTTAGTCAACGGGCACGAGAATTAAGTCAACCTGCTGCACTTACCGGATGGCCCATGGTGAAGAACATTTTCTGAGGTGGCGCCGGGCCGCCAGAGCCAAGAATTTGCGCTGGCGCCGAGGCGGGCGGCGTGGCAATGCTGGCGGCATGCCCCAGGCTGACGGCCGCCGGCGAGTTGGGCACACAGGCCTGATGGGCTGCGGATGAGTTGGAGTTGATCATAAGAATGGTGGTGGCATCGTTGTTAATGCTATTGTTGTTGTTGTTGTTGCTATTGTTGTTGTTAATGCGTTTACTATGATTATTATTATTATTATTGTTGTTGTTGTTGTTGCTGTTGTTGCCGCTATCGACAGTTGCTGTTATGGTTAGTTCATTGGCTTTATTAGTACTATGATTTGTGGCCCCCGCTGCCCCCGCCGCCTTGGTTAGCACCGTCAGCGTGGGCGTGGTCATGGTAGCCGTTGTGCTCAATATCCGCGTATTGGCCGGCAGCGTGATCTTGTTGCACGCATTGATGCTGATGAACGACAACGGGCGCAATGTTGCCCCCGACGTGGACGCCGCAACATGTGTCTGATTGTAGCTGTTGACGTCGGTGATTAGCAACATTGTTGCTGGCTGCTGCTGTTGCTGCTGCTGCTGCTGCTGCACAGTTGTCGCCTTTATGGACACTTGTTGCTGTCGTTGTTGCTCCATCGCATGCTCAGCACTGTTGTCGTTGTCGTTGTCGCCGCCCTCGTCATCATCGTCGTCGTCCTCGTCGTTGCCGTGCAGCGTGTCCAGCACCAAGGCGTCGTACAGTATGGCTGCTCGTCCGGTGGCCTTGTTGCCATCTTGCAGTGTCAACAGTTTGCGTATTATAGACGTTGTTGTTGTTGTTGTTGTTGGTGGTGGTGGTGGATGGGTATTAGTATTGTTTGTTGTTGTTGTTGTTGCCGTTGTTGTTGCAGCAGCAGCATTATTGAAATTATTGGGAAATTGAATAAGTTGCTCGTTACAGTGACTAGTTGTTGTTGTTGTTGTCGATGATGTTGTTGTGGTGTTGATGGTGTTGGTGTTGGTGGTTGTTATTGAACTTGCTGTTGTTGTTGTTGTTGTTATTATTGATGGAGATGGGGTTAATGCTAATGTTGATGTCTGAGCTTTTGAGCTCTTGAAAAACAATGGCGGCGGTGTGGTGTGCTGTGGTGTAACGGTTCTTTGTTGTGTGCGTATGATGGTAAAATGATTTCGCGGCAGCGACGCAGCCGTCGCAATGATCGTGGACGTCGGCGTCGACGTTGGCGTCAGCGTCGGTGTTGGCACGCGCGTTATAACCGTTGGCGGCGTCTCGACGCGCCGCTGATGCAGATGCTTCAGCTGCTGGTGTGGTGAGTTCGCCGGCTGCAGCGGCGTCAGCGAGCGCACTATGGTGAATTGCTTGCGCTTGAGCACAGACGGCAGCACCGTGGGCATGGGAGTGACTGCCTTGGGAATCGCATACGGAGCAATGTCATCGAGATCTGACGTGACGCTGGCCAACTCTGCCATAAATTGCTCATCGTCTTCATCATCATCATCGTCGTCGTCGTCGTCGTTGTCGTTATCTTCTTCGTCTTCGTCGTTGTTATTGTTGTCTTCGTGGATCTCTTCATTGGCTGCTGCAGCGTCCTCGTCCGTTGCTAGATCGGTGCTGGGATTGATTATGTCTTGTTCTTGTTTTGGTTCGAGTTCAGTGGATTTTCGAGATTCTTTCGATGAAATGTGCGAGAGACAGAGCAGAGAAGCGGGCGATGTGTATGTGTATAGGTGACAAAGTGGACGTACGTGTGTTTGTGTGTGTGTGTGAGAGGATTATGCAAGCGTTTTGGAGAAATAGAGAGAAAGATGTTATGCATAAGGCTTTCGTTATAAACCAAAAACTAGAACCTCTTAACATGAGCGTCAGTCGGATGCGAAATGGGCGAGGTGAGGGGCGGCAGGTGGTTGGGTTGAATTTTGTCTTTGGCATACAATATATAAAAATTGTACTCAAATCATATAACAATATTTATAGCACACAAATCATAGTCGAAAATAAAGCCAATATTTCTGGTAAATACGAAACTAAGCAGAAACAACAACAAAAGGACTTCAACGGACTTCATTAACAAATAATAATAATAATAATAATAGTCAAATAATAATTAAAATTAATAGACAACTAAAATCGCATTTCGTCATCTAAATCTTGCTCTAGCTGGAAACTCACCTCTCACGTCTGTGGGACTGCACAGAGTGTGCGGCAAGGGATAATGGTATTGCTTCTGGCTGAGGGCCGTCGCTATTGGCACATTGAAATTGAAGATGGCGCTGCTGGGCGGCGGTGCGCTAATCACGCCCCCAGTGGGCGCGCCAGCGCCGCCCCCATTCAGCTTGTATGGCGATGGCGGCTCCTGCTTGATGTCCTCCTGCTTAATGTGCGCCTGCAGCTGCTGCTCATCCGATTTGCAGCCGGAAGAGCTGCTGCCCTTGGGACTGATGGGCATCGATTTGAAGGCGCCGCCTAATTTATTGCAAAAAAAAAAAAGAGGAGAAGAAAAAAACAGAGTACAATGAGCAACTGTCGCTTGGTCAAGAGATTTGTCTTTGTGCTTGCTCGCCTGTGGGTTGGAATGGTGTTACACCGATTGGATTCTTGGGACTAGTGTAGTGCGTGTACATGGGCATCTGCGGATACGGCAGCATGGTGCTCTCCAGTCCCGGATGCGCCTTGATGGCCTTCGGCTTCAATGTGATCTCGCGCTCTGCGCTAGACGACGGAGCGGACATTGTCTGGCCATTGCAGAGGTTTGCATGGTCTTCCTGAGTGCGCTGCAAAAGGAGAAGACAATATGAATATAAAGAATATACAAATGGAGGAAGGGGTCTATCTCACCTGTTCCGCATCCGTTTGGTGCTGTTGTTGCTGTTGCTTGCGATAGTCGTAGGGCGTGTCGTCCATGTCCAAGTCGTTGACTCGCTCGAGGCACTGCAGATCCAATTTCTTAGCCGGCTGCTCGTCCTCAACAACGACCATTTGCTCGTCCTCGTCGGACTGCAGCTCGTTCTTCAGCTGCTTGGCCTTGCAGTTGCCCTGTGCCTGGCCAGCAATGGTCGTGGGCGTCTCGTCGCACGCAATGTTATACGTATCGATGGTCAGTGGGATGATGTCGCCCTGCAGCTCCGTAGCGTGGGCGCCGCCACTGCCGCTGCCACCGGGCGTGGAGGGGCACATATCATCCAGCGAATCGGAGCCATCCACCGAGACGAGACGCTGCTTGCTATCGGCTGTGCTGGCATTGCCCGCGGCAGCGGCGTTGCCCTTGCCACCCGATGTTGAGGACTTGCGGCGATCCTTGGAGCACCATTTCCAGTCCGGATGCTGCTGGAAATGCTCATCCTTCATCGCTTTGGCCAGCTCATGATATTGGGCCTTCTCGTCCGGCTTCAGTGCGTACCACCATTCGCCCAGTATTTTGCTAACCGTTCGATTGTCCTGGTTGGGATGCTTCTTGTGCACCACCTTGCGATGCTTCTTCGAGAAAATCATAAAGGCGTTCATCGGTCGACGTATCTTCTTGCCAGCCGCTGCCGTGGACTGCTGAGGTTGCTGTTGCTGCTGCTGTTGCTGTTGCTGCTGCTGCTGCTGCTGCAGCGCACTGAGCGACTGACTACGTCGCTTGGCCGCCGACGTCGCCGGCGCACCGCCAGCACCATCGCTGGAATCATGGCATTCCTCCAATTTGCGTATGTTGCTGTTGTATGTGGGCAGTCGCATCGTTGCCGTCGCTCCCTTCTTGCCATTCGAAATAGCTGGCGCAGAGGGCGTGCTCTCGAACACATCGTCGTCCAGCTGCTCATCGGGCTCCTCAGCCTCGTCCGTTGCACTGGTCGAAGCGGTTGCTGCTGCTGCTGCTGCAGCCGCCGCTGCCGCTGCGGCCACCTTGGCATCGTTGATGGAGCAGTTGAGTGGCTTGCCAGGCGACGACAGCGGCGCGGGCACAACCAAATGATTGTTGTTGTGATTAAGTGGCGAGTGTTGCTGTTGCTGTGTTGATGATGTGGTCGACGACAACTGCTGAGGATGCTGCTGCTGCTGTTGCTGTTGTTGTTGCTGCTGCTGCTGTTGCTGTTGATGGTGCAGCATGGCCACGCTGTAGTTGCTGTTTGTAGTTGTCGTTGTCACGGCAGTCGACGGAGTTGCTTTGGTCACGGCTGGCATCTGCGGCAGTAGCTTTTGCCATGGACAGCTAGCCGCATTGTAGCCTGCAAGGACATGAAACGATAGCAGATCCATGAAAATATTATAATTGCGGAAAAGACTTTATTATAATAAGGGTCAGTCATCAGCTCTAATGCAAACATTAAAACTATGGGTCTAAATATTCTTCGGTATTTAGAGATTTGCACATTAAATATTCTAAGAAATTCTTAAAGTTTTAAAAGTATACTTAAAGTCAACAACTACCTATAGTTTTCTAAAAATATTTAAGTTTACATTATTATAAATTATATATGTAGAATTTTGGTTGGAATTCCTTAGATAAGTTCAAAATCTTAAGAGAAAATCTAAGAAATTTGCACTAAAAAAAATATTAGAAATAAATAATTTTAGATGAACATATACTTTTTATATTTTTAGTTAAACTAAAATTTTAATTTTAATTTACTCAAAATATTTTAAAAATATTTTTGTTTAATTTTTATGATAATTATTATTAACTTTAATTTACTCAAAATATTTTACAAATATT